GTGCAGCGAGGGTTTAACTGACGCCGTGATTCAAAATCCGAAGTCCGTCTGCGCCTTCACTTCATGCAGATGGATGCGATTCAGATAGTAACCCGCTGGATTCTGGTACCTGGGTTGATCAACGCGTAGTATATTGCGCTTGTTCGCATTAAACGGAAGGATCCAGTCTTTCAACCGTTCTTTAAGTCAATTCAGGTTCTTATGTAAATTCTTTTCAGAAGCTGCAATTCTGATGACACTCCAAAACTTAATATCATCGATCAACATAGCGGCGTCATAATTAACTTCACGGATGCAGTCTTCTACGTAGATAACGAACAGTTTACGGCGAAGAACGGAGCTTTGGGGAGCACCATTCTCAATGGAAACCTCCGCCGACGCTTGGTCACCGATATGAACAGTTTCTGAGCGGCCAAATATGAATCTTTTTATCCATATTAGGAGATTTCCTCTAAAATCCATTCGGTTGTGTTTGTGCAGGTGTCAATGATGTGTACCAATATCGAATGCCTTCTTGAAGTCAATGTAGACTACATGAAGTGGATTTCCTCCATAAACTACCCGGATGCAGGGTACCAAACAAATGAGTCAATTCGTCACGCAGGACAAGCCTCTATGGAATTCATGCTGCGTATGGGATAGTAGGGTATGCTGCTCTAAGAAGCATGTCAGTTCACGCTTCTTTACCTTTTACTTAATTTTGCAGCAGACCGAAATGAGGCTGTTTGGTGTCTAACTAGTTGCGTATACCTTTCTGCCACCTTTATGCAACGACGTGCTTTGTGCACATTTCCAATCGGTGAATATACGGCCAGCTTCGAATGGGGCTTGGAAAAGCATCGAAAGCGGTTTAGCTAGTTCCCCAGTAAGCTTGTTCAGTAATTTCAGCGGATTATCATCTGGACAGGGTGATTTCGACTCATTTAGCGCCAACGAATTCTGAAGAACAGTCCATTAGGCGAAGTACACATTATCAGTCTCTGAACCCTCTCTGAGCTAGAGTTCGCAGGGATAAATTCGTCTTCAATCGTAAAGGTTGATTTGAAAAATTGTGAAAGGTGCTCAGTGTTTGCTCCTTCCTCACTAATTTCTAGGTCGTCGCTTACCCTCAGTAGGGGCGACGGTCCCTCTATTTCGTGTTCTCGTTCGTAATTATCTGTAAAATAACTTCGGATTTGCAGCTGTCCGGTTCAGCAGGTCTTTTTTCAAAACCTTGCCGTGTCCTAAAGATAAGTCGCCTGACGCGGTTCCTTTGAGCTTTAACCGCATTTAGGGATAGGAAATTGCTACCAGCGAGAGATTTATCCGCAACTTTTGCTTTGTATTCACTTCGTTCTTTAGTATTTTAGTCAGTCACTGGGCCTTTTGTTTAGCTTACTACATGAAATTGGACAGTGGTTCCTGGGGAGAGTATGCGGTAATTCACTTGTTCGTTCCCAATCCTCAAAAATATTGTAGGAAAACCCAATTTCCAATTAATGTTATTAATTTCGGCCCTTATGTAATCGAAGTCACAACGCCTAATATTTCGTTTAATGCTTGTGGGCAGTTCAGGTACCGAAAATATTGAATAGTCCCGGTAAAGTACGGGGTGATCACTCCGACCTAGGAAAGATAGATATTGTACCGCGCCAATCCTCTCCAGCAATTTCATGAGCACCAGGCCCATGTAGTTTGTTTGCTGCCCCTCACGCAACTTTCTGGGAAATAGGAAGTGTTGAATGAGAGATGAACTGTGTGTCAGGTTCAGTTAATATCGATTGGCATATGTTGAACTCCAATCAATAAATGGAGCATTGAAGTCACCCATAATCAGGACACCAGTCCGAGTAGTTAATCTTACTATCTCCTCTAACATAATAGTGTCAGCCTCGAAGTCACTTCTTGTTGGTCGGCAGAGAGTAAGCGCAGACCTTTCTGTTTTTTCTGGAAATAACAGCCCATGATTTAGGTAGGTAACAACCGCTCCCTGACGCCCTCTCATATCTCTTCAGAAAATATGAACTCCTGCTAATGCTAAATCACTGTCATCCACCTTTTCAGACCACCACGTTTCTGTCAGAGATATTGTCGGAGAGATATGGCATTCTTATTTCATCTAACTTGGACTAGATAAACTTTAGGAGACATATTTTTGGTGGCGTCGTTACGGTCCATTTGGAACTTTCATTTAAGGAACCAATTGAATCTTCATTCGAATTGGTTCCGTCCAACGAATATGAGGAGTTCGCTGCAGTATGTGATCGTTGTAGCCCATCAAATATAGTCAGCGTATGGTTCGGTTAAAAAAGACCGCGATTGGTGTCTTTAATTCTGCATCAGTGTGAAAGAATAAGCCCTATTCATGTTTGGTTTGTTTACACTACTTTGAGTGGCCGGGGGCGTTTATCCTCCGATGTGTCGATTGAACGCCTTCCACGTCTAGGGACATTGAGAACTGGAAATTCCTCGGTTGGCTGCAGAAGTCTGTTGAGGAAACCTTTGAATATTTATAGGTGTGCCGAGACTCCATCCTTGGGAGTAGTGGCTGGTGTTTGTGGAAGTCACTGAATAATGAGATTTCGGTTTCTGTTTAGCGAATCTCTCGTGGTCACAGTGAGCTCATGTCTCGAGGAAGGTAACACGTGGTCGCCATAATTTGAAGATGGTGTAGGTAGCGTAATAATACCACTGTCTTTCGTCCGTGTTTTGCTGGCATTATCTAAAATTTGAGATAAAACGAACTGGTTCGATCTCTAAAAAGCTGATGTTGCCAGCTGAACACCTGCTCATGTTAGCGTCATTGCTAAGCTCTGTGTTGTTTTCCATCGTACGGGATATCCGGTGTTGCAGATTATTGGACACATTCGAAGAAGTGAACGCTAACGTCTGTGTGGGTGTAAACACGTCGGAAGTTACGCCAAAAACACTCAATTTTTGTTGACCATACTTGCTCAATGGACCCGATCGGTTAACTGTGGATTCCGTTGCTATCCGTGATTTAGATATCATCGTAGGATTTTTGAAATCGAGTTGGCTGGAACACCCGACTGTACATTCTTCCGCCAATATCAGACGTGTTTCTGAAGGATCCTGTTTATGATGCACGGGAACCTTCTTAATTTTTTTGCATGGGCTTTTCTTGTTCTTTTGGTTACTGCATGGCTGAGCTGATTCAAGACTTCATATTATTGATCTCTGTTTCATATATATAGGACTTTCCGGAGGAGAGTTTAATATGCAGTTTAATCTTCATCTTAGTGCACACATTACACTTATGAGAGCTGTTAAGCTTTTCGACCGCTTACTAGGAGGTGAGCGAACGAGAAATGCGCAAATAGAGTGTGTAATTGGCTATTGGTTTTGCTTAATTAACTAAAATGTTCGCTCTGTATATTGCCACTGGATAATGAAGTGGTTAACCCACTAGCTTGTGAGTTTGTCAGGCCGAGTTCAAATCACGTGCTCCCTCTCTTGTTGTCAAAGCTCAAATTTTCTCCATCCTCCATGGCCGTACCTGGCTTAGTGATATTGAATGTTTAGAAAGATGTCATGCTCAAAGAATTTTGAAGCTGCTGTTCGTTTCTGAAGATCCGAAGGAACTGGGACGAGAATTAGACGGATGCTGAATTCCTATATTCCTGTGAAGATTTAACAAAAGTCTTCTGCAAATCACGGAAATGTTTGCGGAAAGTGTTATATTGGAGTAGTAGTGCTACGATAACATTCAGTCGATTAAAACAGCGAAAATTTTTAAAAGTCCCATAGGTCAAAAATGTGAAGCTCTATTTAAAGATTGCGCTTGAAAGGGCTCGGCTGAAGACAGATCTGTAAAGTGCGAGAGTAGTTATGCCTGTTGTAAAGAAAAAACAATCGAAAAGAAGACGACTCGGTAGCTGGGAAAATACATTTATTCGCCCGACGTTTCAAAATCGATTGCGGATTCATCATCAGCAGAAAGCGGTAGCAGACGTGGGTTAAACATGCACAGGAGTTTGCAATATTTATAGGATACAGTCATAACTGCAAACATACGGCGACAATTAAGGTTAGTTGCCTTCTTGCGCGTGGATTGTTTGTTGGGCGGCATGCGGGCTCTGACCTGTTGAACTTTTATCACCCGCGGTGGACTAGGGTGTGATGCTTGCTCGGCCATCTGGCGCTCCGGTTTTGGCGTAGGATGACGCGGTGGCCTGCCCGTTCCCCAAGTGGTGACTTGCTTTGGTCAAATTGAGTCTTAGTACCGAATATGGATTCGGCAAATCGTTGCATTTGTTGATGGATTGGGGGCCTCTGAAACATGACTGATATGATTCTCGGCTCACCCGATTGTCACTTCTTGTGGGAATTTCAGTCTAACCAAATTTGAATGTGCGGCCGGGTCTCGCCGAATGAACCGCAACTTGAGAATTGGCATCATTTCGC